TCGGTCTGACCATTCTCAGATTTCTGTGAGTACAGACTGTAAAGAACACTTAATAAAATTCTTCAGGTGTCATTCCTGAATATGTTGGCACAGGAAAAAGAAAATGTCCTTTTGTGTCCCACATGTCTAGGTATGGATATCTCAGCTGACATAACCAAATTTTACCATTGTTGTTCAATGTCATTGAATTGATTAGGACAGAGACTCCATGGACAACAGATCTAAACCTTGCACTATCCTGCACCATTCCCATGATCTCAGCCATGCTCAAGCCCTCTTTGTCAATCCACCTTCTTGAGAGCCTTTCTATATTTTGATGACCCTCTACTTTCCCCCGCACAGTGTCTTTTTCCAAAAACTAGCCCCTACTGACAACATGCCCAAAGTAATCTCTGAAGAGCAACCTGGTTGTACTTTCTCCAAGATAGACTTGTTTGTTCTTTTGGGCATCCATGATATATTCATACTTTCCTCCAACACCAGAATTCAAAGGTGTCAATTCTTTGGCTTTCCCTGTTCACTGTACTATGGGAAGCCAATACTAAATATCTGTAATAAACTGAATGCTATTTCAGGATGTGGGGGAGGCATGATTCAAGCTAGAGTCACCCTCAGGAACTAAGGCAATCCTTAAGGGTTTACCAGATTCTTGCATTGTATTTGCTGACCTCTCCCTCCTGAGTCAAGGGGATGGTTTTCAATAGAAAGAGCTTGGCTTCATTTGCATTGAATTCTCTTTGTGATTTACTTCCTGATAATTTTCAATAACGATACAGGGAAGCTGAAATGGGGGTCTCCAGTCCAGAACTTCTGGCCCTCTGTTTTTCATGCTCTCTGCTCTATCTCATTCCTGGCTGCCTGTCTCATTATTAATAATTATAAATTTACTTTACCCTCGGTCTACAATACTGTACAATTGTTAGATGCATAGGAAGCAACTGAAAATATCATGACTTACATTAGGTGCACCTTAGACTTTATAATGTTTTCTTTGCTCCTGAACACTTTAAAGAAGTCCTTGATATCAGATTTCCCTAATGCAACAAATCTTTTGATTTCTTGGCTACCACTACCATACATGTTGATAGGAGATCCAAGTAAAATGAAATATTGACAACTTCAGTCTTTTCTCTGTATATCTTGATGTTAGCTACTGGTTCATTGGTAAGGAGTTTTGTTTTCTTAATTTTGAGATATAACTCATATTGAAAACTGCCTTTGATTTTCTTCATTAAATACCAAATCTTCTTTACTTTCAGCAAATGAGCTCATGTCATCTGCATAACACAACAACAACAACAACATGCCTCATCCAATCCTATTCCATCCCTTGCTCAAGAATGAACACAGGGGTATAATCTAAAGAGGTTAGCCCCAGGGAAAAATCCTTCACTAGCCCAAAAAGTGACATTAGGCTGATTCCTTGGGAATTCTTAGCCTAGTGGTAAGAAGTTACACTCAATACTGAAGGTTGTTAATTGCTGTTGAGTCGAGCATGACTCATAGCGACCCTAATGAGCAAAAAACCTGAAGCCTTCTATAACTATCATAATTTCTCAAAATTCATAGAGTTTCCAGAGGCATGTTGTTTAGGAAGTGGATGCTACTTCTGCTTCCTGAAGGTACGTGGTTCGAATTCACAAGTTGCTCCATGGGAGAAAGATGGTCAATCTCCTCCAGTGCAATTACTGCCTCTGAAAACCCTCTGGAGGGTCAACTATCTGTCAGTTCCGACTCACTGATATACCACACAACTTAGGAATTCTTAAGCCCTAGGTTCCTAGATGATGGTCAAGGTGATATGTTGGTATAAGCTCTTGATAGACTCCTCACATTATAGGGATAAAAATAGTAAGATAAGTGGCTCCAAGCAGGCTTCCCTCTTGTTCAGGTCCATGAACAGTATTGGTGATGGATACATCCTATATTCTCCCCTCATCTTCACTCTCTTGTCTGATGCCTTAGTAAATTAGGTGAAGTATCAGTGGGCGTCCATACCCTTAGGCTTTAGTTTGAGTTCAGCTAATGTTAAACAACAGAAGGATAACAGAGGGAAGGAGAATGATATGGCAGTGTTTATGTCCTTATTGCCTTCTTCATAGGATCTCACTGGAAGCCTGTGATCCCTAGGCATAGGTCACTATACTCTTCAAGGCCCAATTCTATGTTCTGGCAATAATTCCTTCTCTTCTCCCTTCTCCCCTAAAGGCCTTGAGGTAGTTGTGACATGCCACTATAGCCTCCTGTATGGTTCCCAATATCCTGCCCAATTTTTGTAAATCTTTTTATTAAACAATCTTCAATCTACCCAGTTGGTGAGCAGTAAATGTAATCTGCTGGGTCCTTGATTAATACAAACAGAAACTGCATTTGAGTGAACGGAGAGAGAAAAACTAAGGACGACAGACATGAGAATACTGGCAAAATACTCAGAGGCCCTGAACTAGTCAGGAAGTAATGGAAATGTTGACGATGGAGTTGGTGGGTGAAATATGCAAGGGGAGCTAGCAGGACTTGATAACAAATGAACCCTTTCTTCCTGACCCCTTTCCTCCTTTTCAAAACCTTACATAAAGATGACAGTGTCTCTAATTCAAGTGACTGGCATGAAAATGAACTTGTCTGGGGTTCTTAGCAGGAAGATTTGCTGTTGTTCCTAAAGAACCCTGTGTCTTTCCCACCAGAACTGCAGAAGATTGGTGATAATGGAAGACATCTGCTCACCAGTCTCTAGAGCCCTGTCCTTCCCAACTCAGAACACACCCACTGCCTTCACCTATCCCCCTCACCTTGCCAGAGGTTATTCATCTCTCAGTCACATCTGTCATGATACCTAAGACATAGATGAAATTTTTCTAGATCACTGGACTACTTGAAAACCTAAGCTACATGCCAGTGACAGCTGGTTTCCCAGCACTGTGGTCAACCTTATCTGATGAATGATGATGTAAAAGTGGTCACATCTACTAATGAAGGAATTTTTTTTCTTTTTCTTTTTTTTTTCTCTCTTCGGAGGGGGAAGCGAGCTGGTGGGGAGGGGTGGGAAGGGAGAAAATTGCGGCAATGAATGAATGGAAATCCAAAACCTCTGTAAAATAAAAATATAAAAAATTATAATAAAAAAAAAAGTGGTCACATCTGTGTAAGTCAACAAAGTTAGAAATGTCAATGCTTGCCTCATTAGCCAGGAAACAGGGCTCTGAATCATGAAACAAAGCAAGTTTTCAAAGAAGAACTGGTAGACCAGGAATTATGCATAAATTGAACTATCTATCTATCTTCTATCTATCTAATCTATCTATCTATCTATCTATCTATCTATCTATCTATCTATCTATCTCGTTGCTAGTGTTGTGTGCCATCAAGTTGGAACTAACAAATAATTGGCATTCCAGAGGGGTTTTAGAGGCTGTAAAATTCATGCGAAGAGATTACCTTATTTCTTTTGCAGAGCTGCTGGTGGCTTTGAACTGCCTGCATTTGGGTTGGAAGTGACCCACGAAGTCACCAGAGCTCCTTATCTATCTATAACTAAAATTCATGATGATAATAGAAGTAAGTCGAAAACAGAGTATAAAAGAATTAATATGTTTACAAGTTCTTGATTTAGGCAGGATATCATAAAAATATTGATTTACTAGACTTTAATTAGCCAAGATCTCTTATGTAATCTCAAATTTAAATCACATAAAGAAGGTGTAAAAAAGATAAATAGGTAGATATTTTTAGCAATAAAAAAATTATTGCATTTGAATTTGAATTTGAAAGAAGGCAAAAAATTAAGAGCAAAAAACAGGCAAAGTAAATCAGAATCATAAGATGGTAGATATAAATCCACATGTATGAATAATAACAAACAGCCCCAACTACACAATACCAGAATTCGTTGTATTAGGTTTGCAAAGTTTAGTTTTTAACTGAGCAGAAGTAAAATTGAAGGAAAAGAAGCCAGGAAGGAGGGGCTAGGTTTCAGGGTGAAGATGGCTTAGGAGAATGTATGTGAGGTGGCCTGAGTTAGGGTGACCTTGGCTGGCAAGGTTCGTAGAAGGCACCAAAGCAAGGAGTGGAAATTATTTTATTCCATTCAATCCATTATTGTTGTTAAATGTTGTCATGTAAAGTCCAATTAGTAGCTACTAACTTATGAGAGAACAAGCACATTGGTATATTTCTTCATGTTTACATAGCTTTTCACATCAAATATGCCACCTATTCACTACAGCTCTGTGGTACTGAGATAACCAAACTTTAATTCCCATTCTAAGTATAATGAAACAGACACCTGGAAGAATCCTGAAGAGACTTTTCTAAAATCCTATCATTTGTGCTGGAACTAAAAACAAAATTTATATATATATATATATATATGTATATATATAGTGTTAAGTGTACAATGCAGTGACATTAATACATTTGTACATTGTGCAGCCATCACTAACCACTTTCTAGTTAGAATCTCTAACACACTACTTCTCATCCATATGAACATTTAAGCTAAAGTAACAGAGACTTCATAGATCTTTGCAGGTACCTTTAAGACCTTAAATATTTGGAGAGATAATTTCTGAACCTCTCAGCCCCTAGCAGAGAAGCCAGCACCCTGGCACATACTGATGTCTGAGACGCATTAAACTCAACAGATAATTCAGACTACCAGGACAGTGGTTACATGTTAGGCAGGAACTAGGACTAGGACTTGTAGGTGACAGAATGATGGAGAAGTCACAGATCAAGCCTTCTAAAGCTCCCAAATAAAGAGGCTCACAAAGGATGAATATTAGGTGACCTCAAAAAAGCAGAAAGACTAAGAGTGGCATAAAGAGCAATGAGGGAGAGCCAACTGGGTCTCTGGATGACAAAGATGGAATTGTCTCGCTGGCTTTGGAACAGTTAAATAGAGAGAGTATCAGGGACACTCTGGACAGAAAACAAGATGTAGAAGGTTCAGAATGAGAACGTTAGGGACGCCCATGGCAGAGACACGCAGCCAGAGCCATTACCTTTCTAGCCAATGTGACCACTCCAATAACTGCTATGCAGATGACCACCGCTGTGACCACAGCTCCAAGCCAGGGCATCTGGAAGCTGGTGCTGTGCTTGGCCACTGAAAGAGAGGAAACTTGGTTGAGTGACAGAGGCCAGGCACAGGTAGGTCATTGCCCAGCTTCATAGCACAGAGAAAGGGATTGATCAACCCTAAGCTCTGATGGTCTAGTCCATAGGGTCTAGTCCACGTGCTAACATAAAGGACAGAATTTTCTGGAAGATCAAATTTACCAGTGACTCCAACAGAGACTCCTCCTCGGTGATTTATAGCCTCGGAAACCTGTTGGAGGTTCAGCTATGAGTCATTTCTGATTCAATTGCACCGAGGCTTTTTTGTGGGTGTTTTTGTTTGATTTTTCATTTTGCCTCTAGCCACAGGACTGGAGACTCTGAGCCAAGCTCTTTAGACACCAGAGGGTCAGCTAGGGCCCTCACATACTTAGTATGTAAGTCAGTGTTCGCGCGGACGCACAGTCAGGAGCATGCGCAGTATAGTTCACACCCAGCACAGATTATTTTTAACACCCTCACTATTCACATGATAAAATAATTTTTGGTAACAATTTAAAAAGAATTTAAAAAGAAATAGTACCCAAAAGAACACAGAGTGTAAAAAGTTTTCTTTCATTAAATTTCACGTAAGATCACATCAGAAAAGATTAAATTAAAAATTAAATCACAAAGGGACA